CTAAGTTTTCTTGGTAAATAAAGCATAATGAATGCATATCAGCCTATAGGATAAGCACTGTACCGCAAGGTCATTTGAATTGCAAGGTCGGCGGTTCAAACTCACTAGCTGCTCCTTGGAAGAAACCCTATGCAGGATCACTATGAGTTGTAACCAATTTGATGGTACTTAACAACAATAAATCACATATATATTGGAAGATGACAACAACAATTGAGACAAAGAACAAATGAAATTCTTCAGGCTTGAGTGAGAATCAAAGAAAACAGGGTTGATGTTTCCACCAATCTTTCCTTTTTACTTTTGGAAAGAAAATATAGAGGACATTTCAAATATTTCTTTGTTCACTTACATATGTAGACAGTAAATAAAAACTCTCCTTAAAGTTATCTGTCTCTAATGTATGAATTTGGATAAGGGTTTTTGGGGTATGCTAAATTTATCTTTTTAGACCTAGTAATTTAATTTAATGATGTTTCCTTTGGTAATATTTTACTTTTTAAGTACTGAAATATTTCTGTTAAAAAAGAAATCACTAGACTTGTTCAGTATTGCACAAACCTTTGTTCAGCATAGTTTTTTGTGTTTTTTTTTAAGGTTTTTATTGTGAATTGCTTGATAGCTTACATGGGGGAACATCAGGTTTACATTCATCATTTCGTTGCAATGATTACAATCTCTTCTGTGCATCATCATTCAACAGTATTTGCTTTTACTCCCTCTGGTTTTTTGTTTTTGTTTTTTTGTTTTGCAGGGGGGGGGGATGTACACAAAACCACTCTGGAATATATAATAATTTAAACAACCAAAGGGCATATTCTGCAAGCCTGCCTCCTGGTTACCATCACCAGGCTGCCAGCACACAGCCTTTATGTTCCCATGGGTCTAGAGTCCTCAGCTGCTCTCTGTCTCCATGCCCTCATCTCTGTCTCCATCTCTGGTGCTGCTGCTTCTCTGGATAGAGTCCCACATTCCTCTCGTGCTCTTCTCCTCTGATAGTCCTAGGGTTCTCTGTTCCTGGATCGTAAGATTAACTACTCCCCTCTTTTTGTTACAAAACTTCTACCTTTACAGTTGTAACAGTTGCAGTTAGTCACAGCATAGTTTTTGATTGTGTATAATTCTAGTTATAAAAGAATTTCCATATCAGTTTCTCTTTGATTCTCACCTGAAATATTTGAAACTGGTGGTAATATGAGTAATCTCTAAATTCCATTTTATTGATATTTTGTTTGAGAGAGAGAATAATTTTATTTACCCAAGGTAACCAAGCACCAAGCTGGTAAGCAGTAGAGTTGGGACTTTAAATCAGATCTTCTGGGTTTTATATGCTTTGGTTGTCTATAATGTTAAATCTTTATTACCTAAAGGTAATTCTATAGTTATTTCAGACTGTTGTTGTTATTAAGTGCCGTCGTGTTGACTTCGACTCATAGAGACACTCTGAAGAGTGGCTGATGAGGTTGAACTGCTGACCTTGTTGTCCAAACCGACCTTGCAGTCCTGTCTGTATCCTACAGTACCCCTTATACAATAATCCTTGCATGAAAGAAAGGTGGTAGAGCATATGAACTGGATTAGCTCCAACTTTCCTTCTGATTTTTATATTCTCTTTTGTAATGATTTTCTGGAAGCATTTTCACTTACAATGGATTTTATTTTTACTTTGTTGTTGTTAGGTGCCATCGAGTTGGTACCGACCCATAGCGTCCTTATGCACAGCAGAAGGAAACACTGCCCGATCCTTGGCCAACCTCCCAACAGTTGCCTCGCTTGGAACAAATTTAAATATTTGTATGGTTCTTTACTTAATATCGAATAGTTTCTTTTCTGTGAACTCATTTAATGCTTTTAATATTCTTGAGATGTAATCATTATTATTATCAAAATATATACTGAAGAGAAAATTGATACAAAATAAATTCTTGGGAGTCACATAGTAAGTAGATTGAGGAGCAGGACTCTCAAATTCAAGTTTCCTAAATTCAAATTTTATAAAATAACACTGTAACTTTTAAGCAGGGATGTTAAAACTATTATTCGTTGCTTCCTTTTATCTATAAAATCTCAGAACTTTTTGGCTTTTGTAAAGATGAAGATTCTGAACATATATTATATTCTCAACTCTTTCATTATGATTTCATAACATTTATCACCTAGGTTCAGCATTACAGGTTTGTGTCATATTCCTGCCTATGTGTTTTACCATTTCCTATCATTTTGTACTGTATTGTGAGCATGCTTCTTGTGGGCTCTCAGAGTTCTAACCTTCCTTGTATTCTAAGTCCACTCAATTTTTCTTCTTTGGTCTCTTGCATTTAAAGGCTGATTTTATGAAATATTAACTTTAGCTCTTCCCGTTAACATTCACCTTAGCCCTTGGTGATTTGTTAAAGCAACCTTATAATTTATTTTGCTATGGTATATATTTATCACTTATGTGTCATTTTGTGAGTGAGTAGAATTTGCTTCTTAAATCCATCCAAATGAAAATAAGGTGTTTTTTTTTTCCTTCAGAATTATGATTTTTAATTGTTGGACATAAAGTTTAAAGTTCAATATAATACATACTCATAATTGGTGCTGTGGGATAAAGCATTGGACTGCAAGGTCGGTTTGAACCACAAGATTGGCAGTTCAAACTTACCAACTGCTCTGTGGACACCCTACACAGGGCTACTTTGAGTTGGAACTGACTCAACAGCACTTAACAACAACAACAATTGCTAAGTAATTTATCCTGAGGTTGAGTTACAGCATTTCAGAATTTTTACTTTTGAATACCTGGTGGGGATTGAGTACTACATCCTATTAGGTAGTAATATATTTTGAAGATGTATTGAAGTTGTGACAATGATGGAATTGCTTTTCTTAAATGAGTTTCTTTCTTGAAATGGTTTATCAGGCTTGGTGGAAAAAGATTAGGGAGTACAGAAATATGAGTAATACACATTCAGATACTGATATGTGCCAGGGCTGAAGAAAGTTATTAAACTTTTTCACTCCTGAGTTTTTCGTACTGCTAACTTGTTAGGATCTTTGCTGTGCCCTTGACTGTCTTTGTGGATGCAGCTTTAATCCTTTACCTTAGTTCTTTACAGAATAATGTATGAGGGTAAATAAAAAATATTGCTACAAAATTATTTTGTTGTTGTTAAGTGCCGTCAAGTCAGTTCCAATTCATAGCTACCCTGTATAGTGTTTCCAAGGAGTGGTCGGTGGCTTGAACTGATGACTTTGCAGTTCAAACCAACCTTGTAGTCCGGTGCTTATCCTACAGTGCCACACTGAGGCTACAAAATCATAGAAACTTTTATTAATCAAGCACATCAAAATATGATTCGTTCGTTTCTTAATGTATCTGCCACCTACGTCTTTACACTTCGGAAGGCAGTGTAAATGCTGAAAAATTTTGTGCTCTTTGATTTGCACTAAGTCAAAATGAAGTTTGGGCATCCTCTTGGGACTCAAATTGTGTTACTTTGAAATGTTCTTTGAGTTTTGGCAGCAAAAGGAAGTCTGACAGGGCTAGATCAGGGCTGTAGGGTGAATGTGGAAGCTCTTCTATGGGAAATTCTCATAGGACAACCCTTTCTACTCTTGAAGAATGAGGAGGTGCTTTGGAGTGAAGAAAAAAATTCCTTGGAGCAATTTTTTGACCTTTTTCTCTCCAGTGCAGTTTTCAATTTCCTTGAAACTTCTTCTTAATAACCCCCCATGATTATCCTGTGTCCTGTGAGAAAATCTATCAAGATTACCCCTTTAGAGTCCCAGAAAAACAGTCAATTTAGCCTGCGCTGATGTTTCTGCCTTGAATTTAATTGTCTCAACAGATCTCCCCGGAAGACACTGTTGTTTGGGCCGTTTTTTGAAGGCATCCTAAGGAGACCAAAACAAATGTCTGTTACTGAGAGAACTTGTCTGCAGCTAAGCACTGATGTTGTTAAGTGCAATTGAGTTGGTTCTCATAGCGACCTCTCATACAGACTCATAGCGACCCTGTATAGGGTTTCCAAGGAGTGGCTGTTGAGATTAAACTGTCGACCTTGAAGTTCAAACTGACCTTTTGGTCGAGTGCTTATCCTACAGCATCACACCAGAACTCCATCCACTGATGTTGTTGTTGTTGTTAAGTGCCTTCGAGTCGGAGCCGACCCATAGCGACCCTGTACAGGGTTTCCGAGGGTGTAAATCCTTACGGGAGTAGAAAGCTTCATCTTTCTCCTGCGGAGCGGCTGGTAGTTTCGAACCACTGACCTTAAGGTTCGCAGCCCGATTCGTAACCACTACGCTACCAGAGCTCCACTGATAGTAGAGACTTATTGAAGCATACTTTGTAATAAATCTGCACATGTATGAAGTGGAACCTTGCTAGCAATCCTTTTTTTTTTTTTTACTAGTAATACTTTATGACTTGCCCATGTACCTAAATATGCTGTTGTTAATTGATAAGGAATTGGTTCAGACTCTGACCCTGTATTGGGTTTCTGAGGAGTATCTGGTGGGTTTGAACTGCTGATCTTGCAGTTAGCAGGTCATTCCTTATCCTCCAGTGCCTCACCAGCACTCCCTTAGTAGTATGACTGTTTTGTACACAAACAAGTGATTTGCTAGTAACCTCAATTTGCCTTCAGGAGAAATCTTAGAAGTGGCCTGTCTGGAAAGGTCTCATTTCCTTAAAAAAAATTTTGAAGGAAATACTCTTTTTTATTTATTTTACTTAATTTGTTCAGTTAATGAAATGAGATAAATTCTGCCGAAATGAGCTCTGTTAAGTAATTACATTGATTAGCCAGGGCTCTCTCCCTGTTTGTAGGGGTTGGTGTTTTCCAGGTAAGTAAAAGTGTTAAATCTTGAAGAGGTAACCTCATCAACCCAATTTTATGTCTTTAGTAACATAGATGATTGCCAGCCAGCACCTGGTATATTTTCATAATTGTCTGGTTAGTAAAATCTGTGTTGTTCAGCATGTTTTATTTTCTTTCGTTCTTTCTTTCTAGGGACATAGTTCTCAAACTACTTCAATATGAGGCATCAACAAATGTAGCAGACAATAAAGGTTACTTTCCTATTCACCTGGCTGCCTGGAGAGGTGATGTGGAGATTGTGAAGATTCTTATTCACCATGGACCATCGCATTCCAGAGTCAATGAGCAGGTGCCCTCGTCCGGAAATGTTTGCTCATGCTAACCTTTTCCTAGACTTTACAAAGCCAAAGCTATATTGAAAAATTGATTACTTGGATCTTTACCCTGCCAGGAACCTTTTCATTGCTGAATTGAGAAGTTCTTTGGCATTTGGCTACAAAGCACAGATACTGAGTTACAACATTTGTACAGCTATTTTGTTAACAAGAAAACCCCGCATAAAGCAAGTAGTTGTAATTTTTTGTCAGCATTATATAAGCATTCATGTTGAATATTTAAAGATAGATCAGAATACAATGAAAACGATTGATTCTTTAACTTTTTGAAGCCAACACAATAAGCACTGGACTGCAAGCTACAGGGACCATGGTAGGAGCCCACAGCTGCTCACCAGGAGAAAGATGAGGCTTTCTGCTCCTACAAAGATTTTAAAAGTCTGTGAAACCAGACACAGGTTTCCTATGAGTCAGAACCAACTCCAAGGCAGTTAATAACAACAACAACAAAACAATGATAGCTATCATTTGCATAGTGCCTTGCCATTTACATCATACTTGCATTGTAAGTACAATTTTGTGAATCAAAATGAAAAATATAGTCTATACTGCTTCCAGTCACATATTTCATTTGAAATTTCCTGCATGTGTTTATGTGAACATGTATCCACCTGAAGTTTAGTAAAACACTGCAGCTATATCATACTGATGGAAGGCAAAATCTTTTCAAGCATGAGTTAAAAATATCAAATAAACATTAAAAAAGGAATGTCATTTTTAGTATTCTAAATGAGTAACAGCAGAGATTCAGGACAGTAAAATATGGTCCTTTAATACAGAATGATAACAAACATCTTGAGCTCTGCATGCCCCCTACTGTTCCCAGTTTGTAAAACTACATTTGAAAACCAGCATGCAGTCCAACAATTGAATTACAACCCTGGCATTAAGCTCTAGGTTGGCAGTTGTCCAATATCAATGCAAATAGGTTACTCTAGGGCAGGCCCATCCAATAAAGTACAATTAGCATATTATGCAAATGAATGCAGCCTTTGGTAGAAACTTACCAAAAACAGGATGGAAGACTAAATAGCAACACTAGCCATAAAACACAAAAGGGAAGTAAACTATTCTTAACCAGATGCAGTTGTTGGGACTAATCAATAAAACATTTTAGTAATTGGAAAAGTATTAATATTTATTACAGTGAAAATTCCAGTGCGTCCGGGTTACCAAAAATAGATTTTTTTATCATGAGAATACAATGAACAATTCAGACTTTTAAATATATGATAGTCATAACTATTTATTTTTCTGTCATAATAAATCGAAATGTATGAGAATGCTCTTCTGTTCCTCAGAAAATGAAGTTAGATTATAATTTTTTTGGAGGCGCCATCTGGTGGTGGTTCTTAAAACTGCCTCCAATGCCACAAAGCAAACCTGAAATAGTAAAAAAAAGAAATAATGGGACGCTGTGGGTTAATGCGCCACACTGCAAAGATGTTTGAACTGCAAGGTTGTCCGTTCAAGTTCACCAGCTGCTCCTCGGAAACCCCTCTACAGGGTCGCTATGGGTCGGAACCGACAAAACGGCACTCACAACGACAACAATCCAAGGTTCAGGAGCTCTGGTAGCTTACTGGTTATGAAGTTGGGCTGCTAACTTCCAGGTCAGCACTTGGAAACTACCAGCGATTCCGCGGGAGAAACGCGGAGGCTTTCTGCTCCGGTAAAGATTTACAGCCATGGAAACCTTATTGTTGTTGTTGTTAAGTGCCATCGAGTCAGTTCCAACCTATAGCGACCCAGTATAGGGTTTCCACTGATCAGCTGGTGAGCTTGAACCACTGACCTTGCAGTTTAAACGGCTGTGTAGTCTGGCACATTAACCCGTAGCGCTACACCAGGACTCCGGGACACCCTATAGAGAGGGTCATACCAGGGCTCCCGGACACCCTAGAGAGAGGGTCGTTAAGTGGGGACCTACTCTATGCCACACAACTGCCACCACCGAATCCAAGGTTAAACAAGATGATGTGATGTCAGCATTTACAAACAAAAAAATATGTTTTAAAAAAATAATTATGAATAAGACAAAATATGTAGGTATTCACTTATGCTTAAGAGGATGAGGATTTTCAGTGTAATATAATTGTAATGGAATGCTTTAAAAAGAAACACTTCTGTGCTGTTGAACAGATCGTTGTTATACAAAAATAGATATTTTTTAAAGGAGTTTGGAAGTAAGTTTTTTTTTTTTTTTTTTTCCATTTCTATTGCTGTTGTGGACTCTATTGGCAACAACTTTTAAATCTCTTGAGGTTTTTAATGTTAGGTCATCCATATTTTTGGTCATTTGTTTTGTTTTTATCTGTATTCTTCTTTAGTGCTAACATAGTTGTCAATTTTTCCTGACTATTTCAGACATGGGAATGTTATTGTTATGTGTAACTCTTGATTTCAGCTTTCCATTCTGAATGGAACAGGGTTGTTCTAACTAATTACAATCTTACACCTATTTAAAGAATAAAAGGAAGGAATGAAAATGGTAATGACCATTTCTTGAGACATGAGAGACACTGGGCGGCCTCTGTGCTAAATAAGCAGTTTCACCTGCAATATGTTACTTAATTTAACTCTCACAGTAATTCCCTAAAGTGATATTATAACTCCCATTTTATAGATGAAAAATTAGGCTCAGAAAAGTTAAATAAATTGTATGACGCTAACTTGTTCCTGAATGACTGAAACTAAGACCTGGACTCGGGGGCTATCTAACTCCAGAATTCACATCAGAACATTGTTATTTTCCACTTAAATCTTCTCACTTCTGGAGTATTCACCCTCTGTCAGGCTTTGCGAGACTAAGTCTCTGACATGACTCAGCCATATGGTTGTTGTTGTTGTCGTTAAGTTCTGTCGAGTTGGTTCTCATAGCGGCCCTGTATAGGGATTCTTAGGAATGGCTGGTGAACTTGAACCAGTAACTTTGTGGTTCAAATCAACTTTGCAGTCCAGTGCATTAACCCACAATGCCACACCATGACTAGCAATTATTAATTACTGTTTTCATCACCTCCTTTTTCATTTCAAAGCAGTGTTTTTTTGTGTGTTTTTCTTATTTAGACACGCTAAGGAGTTCTGGTAGCCTAGTGGTAATGAATAGGGCTGAGAACCTTAAGGTCAGTAGTTCGAAACTACCAGCTGTTCTGCGGGAGAAACTCCACAGCAAATAACCACCACCACCACCAGTGGTCAAACACACACACACACACACACACACACACACACACACACCAAAATAAAAACATGTAAATAAGATATATTGATTATTACTGTTGATTGGAATGCCAAGGTTGGAAATAAAATGAAGGATCAGTAATTGGAAAATATGGCCTTGGTAATAGAAAGAATCCTGTAGATCGCATGATAGAATTTTGCAAAAACCAATGACTTCTTCGTGGCAAATACCTTTTTAAAACAACATAAAAGCTGGCTATGCACATGGACCTCACCAGATGGAATACACAGAAATCAAACTGACTACACCTATGCAAAGAGATGGTGGAAAAGCTCCATATCATCAACCAAAATAAGGCCAGGTGCAGACTGTGGTACAGACCATCAATTGCTGAAGCTGAAGAAAATGAAAACAAGTCCACAAGAGCCAAAATATGACCTTGAATACCTCCCACCTGAATTTAGAGATCATTTGAAGAACAGATTTGATACATTAGACACTTAAGACCGAAGACTAGAAGAATTGTGTGATGACCTCAAGAACATCACACAGGAAAAAAGCAAAAGGTCACTGAGAAGACGAGAACAAAGGAAAATACCAAAATGGATGTCAAAAGAGGCCCTGAAACTTGCTCTCCTGCATAGAGATTGCTAAAGTAAATAGAGATACAAAAACTGAACAGAAAATTTCAAAGATCAGCTCAAGAAGACAAAGTCAAATATTATAATGAAATGTGCAAAGACCTGGAGTTAGAAAACCAGTAGGGAAGAACACGCTTAGCATTTCTCAAGCTGAGGGAACTGAAGAAAAATTCAAACCTCAGCTTGTGATATTGACTCAACTATGGCCAAAATACTCAATGATGCAAAAAGCTTCAAAAGAATATGGAAGGAATACACAGAGTCACGGTACCAAAAAGAAATGGTTGATGCTCAACCATTAAGAGGTAGCATGTGATCTAGACCCGATGATACTGAAGGGAAAAGTCCAAGGTGCATTCAAGGCATTAGCTAAGAACAGGGCACGGGGAATTGATGGAATATAGACTGAAGTCTTTCAACACAGTGATGAGGCACTAGAGTCACTCACTCATCTATGCCAAGAAATCTGGAAGACAACTACCTGGCCAACTGATTGGAAGAGATCTATATTTGTGCTCATTTCAAGTGAGGTGACCCAATGGAATGTGGAAATCATC